CCATAGTGGTGATTGAGTCTTTAGTTGTTCCAAGGTCCAGGCTGGTCCATAGTGGTGATTGGGTCTTTAGTTGTTCCAAGGTCCAGGCTGGTCCATAGTGATGATTGGGTCTTTAGTTGTTCCAAGGTCCAGGCTGGTCCATAGTGGTGATTGTGTCTTTAGTTGTTCCAAAGTCCAGCCTGTTCCATAGTGGTGATTGGGTCTTTAGTTGTTCCAAGGTCCAGACTGGTCCATAGTTGTGATTGGGTCTTTAGTTGTTCCAAGGTCCGACTGGTCCATAGTTGTGATTGGGTCTTTAGTTGTTCCAAGGTCCGACTGGTCCATAGTTGTGATTGGGTCTTTAGTGGTTCCAAGGTCCAGGCTGGTCCATAGTTGTGATTGGGTCTTTAGCTGTTCCAAGGTCCAGGCTGGTCCGTAGTGGTGATTGGGTCTTTAGTTGTTCCAAGGTCCAGGCTGGTCCACAGAGGTGATTGGGTCTTTAGTTGTTTCAAGGTCCAGGCTGGTTCATAATGGTGGTTGGGTCTTTKGTTGTTTCAAGGTCCAGACTGGTCTACAGAGGTCATCGGGTCTTTAGTTGCAGATCCTAAACTGTGGAACCAGCTACTCCTTCAAGTCAGGAAGGCTTCAGCTCTTAAAGCTTTTAAATTCCATCTTAAAACTATTCTGTACTTACTGGCTTTTAATACATCAGGGGAGTCTGTTTAGTTTTCCATTTGTAACTTTTGTAATTCTGCTTCAGATGCAATTTTTGTATTTACTTCTGACTCTTTTGCTGTCTGTTTTGTGTGCAGCACTTTGGCCCAACAACAGATTTCCTCTCACCTTGGCGGCTCGCCTCTCTGCTGGGACCTGTTTGATGACAGGAGCGTCCTGCACAGAGCTCCTCATCCTGCTGTGGGTGTAGAGCGTGTAGAGGGAGGTGACGTTGGTGARGACCATCAGGACAATTGGAAATATTTCATGTATGGCCAATGACGTGGTGGCATAGGCCAGGCCGGAGTGGTTGGAGGGAAAGTTCCACACACATCCCAGCAGGGGGTGTGTTGTGCTGCTGAGGAGCATCAGGGTCTGAGGAAAGAGGAGGAAGAAACAAGAACTTGTATTAKTTCTGCAAATCACAGACATGTATTTGTCTCTCAGAAAGGATAACCTAACATACAAAACTAAAGGGTAATTCAGAGTAAAATAAAAATGGCTTTTTGAGTCTGCAGCTATTGTTACTTCATGAACTTTTATCTTAAATCATAAATCATTTGACAGAACATATTGATATCAGTTTTACTGATATGCTACCACCATAAAAACTACATTTTTTAAATGTTAGAATGCTTTGAACCATAAAGGGACAGTTCAGATCTTTTGAAGTTTATAGAGTAATTCTGACTGGATTAATGAACTACCTAAAGAGGATTACCACGATATTAGTGAGTTAGAGTATTAGAGTAAAATTCTCTTCCTTTTATCTTCAATAGTATTTATTTCACATTAAATCAGTTACATAGTACATTTCAGTGTTTATAAGAGGATACTTGTGTTTCTATACGGGAAATACCATGTAGTGCTCAGTTATTGTTTGTTAGCGGTGTTCAGCTGTTGCAACGAGACGAGGAACGTGACATTTTGTGTTTTTAGTCAAAGTTAAGTATGAAAAGTTGAAGTTAATTACAATTTTTCCTTTGGTGAAAATGAGATTGAACCCCTGTTGTAGTGAAGAAACCCCTCTACAATTCATGAAAAGTAAAACACAAAGTTTCTGACCTCTGTGGTATTTTCATTGCCATTGGTGGAAAAGATGTGAGCAGGAATGGCGTAAAAGAGATTGATGATCCAGATCAAGCTCAAACTGAGCAGCAGGGTCTTCAGCATGCTCCTCGGCCCCTGGAGGTTTCTGACATGGGGAGCCACTCGCTTCAAAGTGTGGAGATGGAAGACGCTGAGGAAGAGCGTGGACCACACGTTGACCGAACGCAGCCACACCCAGACGCCCATCAGGAACTGYCAGCKCCTTTTACCAGAATYCACCTYCAAACATCCATYARGTTTAGACACTTTAACAWGTAGCCTAAATATTTTCTATTCTGAATAAACTGTTAACTTAARTGTTGTTTACTTACTACCTCAAATCCCAGGTCTGACATGATGAGCAYCATGTTTCTCATCACGGACACCATCAGGTTGGACAGYGCCATGTTAACTATGATGATGTCCGAGTTCTGGCCCCCACCTCGGCCCATAATTACACTCTTACCGATGACTCCAATCATGACGGCATTACCGAAGAATCCTAAAGCCACCAGAATTATGTAAAAGGCGCTCTGTGCTGGGGACACAGGGATTTGAAATCCTGTCCCAACAAGACTGGGATGCTTCCTTGTGTTGTTTGTTCCAAAATCCATGGTATTTGGATTCGTCTTAGCTAGCTCCATCTTCTTTTCAAAAGTTTGCTCASAGAAGAGACTTCAGCCCTCCAACAGCTTTCCCAACATGTTAAACTCCAGTTACAACAAACTAAAAAGATGTTCCATTCCTCTCTATTTTTGAAACTGCTTTATCCTCTCATAGCTCACAAAAGGAATGAAGTGGTCTGATAAATCAGCCACTCTTAAGGTCGCAGAAAACCTCAAAGCGACACAATGTTTTCAGCCTCTGGGAGCTGGAAGGTACATGTTAATGAAACACAAGAGATTAATCAGCTTCCKTGATCCAAAACGTGCTTGCTTTGCAGTTTTTCTTCTTGTACTGGGACCCAGAGGGAAGTCAGGAGCTTTCTGTTTGTGTGCATGTAGTATGAGATCACAGATTAGGTTTTCACTTTATGTCAATCAGTAAATGTTAAAAAACTAAACTAAATCAACCAATTTACTGCAGCAGACAGTGGTGAATTAGCTTGCTGTTTTCGTACCTTTTGTATTTTAGAATTCACAAACTGTGGCGGTCACAAACTTCATTAGACTGTAAAGAAACATTTTTTTAAATTACTTTATTTTGATACTTGTACATTTAAACATACAGTAAATACCACAGACACTGAAGAATCCAAGCTTTTGTGTCTTGATTAGGACATGAAAATTTAGAGTTACGTATTCTGTACATTCATATCGAAACATATCAAATAGCAAAAAAGTTTTATTTTCTGCCCCCATGACTGAACTAAGATCGGTTTCCAGTCCAGCTCAACCCTCCCTCTTCTGCTGGAAACTCGCTGTTAGCTAAATATCTCACGAATCACTAAACGGTTTTTAATAAAACTTTCAGGAATTAATCACTGGATGAACAACTTTTCAAGTAGCCTCAATTCAAGATGCCCGACTCTAATAATCAGCAAGACAAAAATGTGTCTAACTCAGTAAATTTTAAAGATATTGAGCTGAAACTGGCCGTGGTAGTAGCTTAGGGTAATTCACAACACATACTCTGAGCTCAGATCATCACCTGAAATTTCAGGCAATGTTTGAACAAATATGGCTCTAGTTCTGTCATTTCACAAGATGATCTCAGTCTGAAACTGTGACTTGAAAGGTGACATTTGTTCAATGTATGCTAGGCCTTTAATCACCTTCAGTATGTTTTTGTCTGATTGAAATTATTAGGGTGTTCAGAGGTCAGAGAATGTCAGCCTGTGATTGGAAGCTCTACATTATTAAAATGAAAAAAAAAGAACAAAAGCTCATCTGAGCAGGTGTTTTATGATCGTGTTCAATAAGCCCAAATAAAATTAAAAAGGACAAAATCAAAGTCTGACACAACTAAAATAAACATATTTTTATTTTRTCTTCATCCATTCCAGTCAGAGAGGATCTCTTTTCTCATTAAAAACCCTGAAGTTGGACATGAACTAAAAAAGGGGGCCCAAGACTCTTGTTTAGATCAATGTGTAAAGAAAAAGCCTTCATGCAGTCCATTAGACGGCGAGTTCAGCCGACACAGAAGGATAACTTGAGTCAAATGTAATCATTTATAACAGTTGTTTCCCCCTGCTTCTGTTTGTGTTACTAGATAAAGATAAAAGACTGAATAAATGATGGCCTCAGGAGATGAGAGCAACCTGAACGCTGGAGCTTTAAGTTTCCTCACCTCAGGAGTGAGTCTGTTTCTTTGCTTTGAGTCACATCAGCTTGCGCCGACTCAGCATTCAGACTTTATATTTCACATAACTCTGGCTTTGCATTCTCATAATTTTGTTCCAGTGCTCTGCTCTGTGCATGTTGTTGTGGACAGAACAACGTATCGATGAGCGCTGTCTGKATGCAGGAGTTTTTAGCTTCAGAATAATGTGGCCGTCACCTTCCTCTGCCTCGGCTGTACAATTAACAGGATTTGTTGTCCGATAACGTTCAACAAAGGCCCGACATTACGCTGCAGCCATGAGAGCAGAGAAAAGCATCACAGCTGGGAGCTGCAGGCAGAGGATGACTTTGAACTGAAAAAATGGCAACTTATTTGGAGGTATTGATCAGAAGAAATCACCTCAAAGTACAAATTTAATTATGATGAAGAGTTCCTTCCTGATGTCGCTGCAATCATTCCTTGGACGTTTGGAAAAATACCGAGCTGGAACTTTTCATTAAATCGAGTTAGCAAAAAAAAGGTTTAATTTTTTAAAAGTTGATTAGATTAAATACAATCTCTCCAGTATTAGATTTAAGAGATATGGTCTAAAGCGACCTGATAAAACACAAAGATTTCATGAAAACAAGTTTTGGCAATGAGTGACCCAGAAAAAAAACCCACAACAACTTGAATTTCACTCATTTGATCATCCGGAGGATTGTTTGTTGGATTGTATCACAGCAGGTGGTGTCAGATTTTTGTTTTTGGCACAGTTAGAGCCTTTAGTGTTCAACCAGCTCAAAATGTTACAGGGGTAATTACAGAAAGAGAGGCAAGGTTCTGAGAGCAACTCTCCTGTAAAAGCAGGAAACCAGCAGGAGCAAAAAGAGTAAAAGCTGATCAGAGAAAGGTTTCTGAATTCAGTGAACTGTTCAACAGCTGCGTTTCTTTTAAGAAATGTGGAAATGAAGTTGCTACTTTTGGACTCGTAGCAGGAAAATGTGACCTGTTCTGAAAGTTGAACTGGACTTGTAAAAAAAAAAACAGTGCAGTGATGGTTGAAACTTTAATTGACATTCGTTTGTTCAGTGATGCTGCAGATGTTTGCGAGGAAGGCAGCAGCTGAAAAAAACAACAACTACATATTGTTTGAAATGAAACTGCCTATTTTTGAGCGCAGCTTGCAGCCTGACAGACACAATATAAAAYTGAAAAATCCAAGACCTAATTAGTTCTATTTTGATGGAAAACCCTCAGGAGGCTGAAGGCAGATGTTTCAGAGTTTTAAAATAACATCTGGATGATGGATTTCAAGGTGTTATGGTTTTGAGCTAGGCCATAACAAAGGCCAGAAATGTCTTTTAGTTTGGAGAGGCTTTTAAAAAGCCTGTTTGCTGTCAGGTTGAAAGAATTCAATTTGTCTGAACTTTTCATCCCCTTCTGCTCTCTGTATAATCTCAAACATCCAATCCATTTTCTCTTGTGCAGTTCAGGGTTGTGGGGAACTTGTCTCCAGTAAATTAGTCGGGGTACACCCAGGACATGTCACCAGTCCATCAAAGGGCCTCATAAAGACTAACAAGATAGGCAATAAAGCAGTGTTAGCAATAATTAAAAAAACTCTTTAAAGGGCCAATGTGCTTCTCAGGCATATATTTAAATACTATACCATAATAAAGAATCTATGTCACCTTCAGCTGTTAGTAAAATGCTGTTTTTAAGATTAAATAGAAAATAAACTTATCTTCTCATCACTTCCTCTTCAAAACATCTTGAAATTGGCCTCTGTCACTTTAAAAACCACCTTCGCTTCTGTCTCGCCCATTTCGGTGTGGGGTGGGGGGGGCATGATCCAGTTTACTTGGCATCTGAAAACATATTTCCTCAAAGGTTTTTTAATCTGAAAAGAACTTCACTGAGTGAGAACTAATGTTGAGAGCTCAGCAGACAGTTAGGTTTCACTTTCACTTTCACCTGAGAGCCTGCAGGAGTCATGGGCGGGGTGTGTGGATGGGGGAGGGGGTGCGCTCTGCCATGAGGAAGTTCGGCTTAAAAACACGTCCCAGGGGCGTTTCTGGTACCAAAAGGCGTTTCTGGTCCCCACCTGTCGTTTTGCTCCTCAGCATGGCTGCCTAAAAACACTGCAGGATTTCTCAAACATGCATGAATGAGTCAAAGCAAGGCTTTGGGCATGTTTTTAATGAGAGTATAACATTATAACATGATATAAAACTCAAAAAAGTTGATTTTACATGATATTGCCCCTTTAAACGGTTAAATAAACAGGACAGAACAGGAAAAGACTTGAGGTCCAGGTCTTATGGTCTTGAAACTAAACCCTGAGGCATCTATCCTTCTCTCACTCCATCCTACCATCATTAATGATCAAGAAGCCTGGATGGACTGATCCACCTGATGCAAAGAATCTATCCCACCCCAGTGCTCGRTGATGGTCTTGGCCKGAAGACGCCAACAGAACCACCTCATCTGCATAAAGCAGAGACAAGACCCTGAGGTTCTCGAACCAGACACCCTCCTCTCCACCACTGTGCCTTTAGATCCTGTCAAACACTACAAACAGGACTGCAGACAAGTTACAGCCCTGGCAAAGCCCAACTTGCACCGAGAACAAGCCTTAGTTTGTGTGGAGGATGCAGACAGGGCTCCTGCTTGAGACTGGAATATTTAGAAGCATCTGTGGCACCCTGTACTCACCTCCCATGACCCTCTTACCAACACTGCTGCAAGACCAGGACCTACAATGTCCTTGTGGTCTTTATAGAAAAACCCATTYACCTCATGATTATTATTTTAAAAGAAAAGAAAAGAAATGGGGGCTTTTGAATGCCAATGTGAAAACACATAAACTAGTGATATTGTCAGTGTTTGCCCTGCAGGCATCATCAGGGTTTTGCTGAATTTCTCATCAGATGTTCTGCTGAATGAAGCCTGAAGGTGGGAGAATAAAAACCCATAAAGATGACAATCTGACTTCTATAATCCTCGTCGTTCTGTGATGCACACCCCATCAGCCTGAGCACACAGGGAGAAGACCATTAGTTACCTGCTGCTGGAGAGATTATTGTTGCTGTGAGCATTTTAAACAACAAAAAAGCTGCTCAGATCCCAGATTTCCTCTGCGTGTCATCGATCCGAGGCCGAGCTGTGGAGAAGAGCCGCTGATTCAAACCAGTAGTCTGGTCAATATGTTGTTCCTCTGTTTGAGGCACTTCTTCTGGGACAAAACCTTTGATTCAGCTTTGTTCACCAGAGAAGACAGGAGGAAATGTGACACAGTTCCTCACAGAAGTTCATCATTTCATCTGCTTTTCTCTGAAGCTTCAGTCAATCTGTGATCAGAAGCTGTATGCTTTCAAATAAAGTTGTTTTTTAGAGCAGCTGATCGATGAGAGGTTAATATAACAACAGAGAAACTGTAATTTCCACAAGATTCAGTGGAAACGCCTGGTGCTGAAATCTACTGAAGCTGAAACAATCAGAACACTGGCTAAAAGCTA